TTGCCATGTGTTGGCATGGCAACTAACTCCTGTAAAAACAGCGCTCATTGAGTCTCTATCATTCCTATCTGAGACTGTGATGGGTTCGAGTAAGAATCTGAAACTTCAGACCAATAAATATCTTCTTTTTCAGTGATCAGATCTGCATTTGCTTCTGAACTGCGTCCTAGTAGATACTAGTCTATGGATAGTAGAGGTTAGGGTTCAGTTGATAACGGTATTTCCAAATGGGCGCACAGCTTGCCTCAGCCACGCATGCCTGATTAGTGTAATTGGGTTATTCGCCTTCGATCCTGCCTTATTGCCTGGGGCTTTTAGAGCAGCTTGCGTGAGACAGACTGGTCTAAGTAAGTACCTGGTCTTCGCGATCCAAAACGCTTTGCGAAATTGGGTTTTTAATGGTCCTTTTCAGCAAAAGTGCATTTCTAACAAACGGCCAAAAGTAGGTAAGGTTTCCCTCTATTGCAGATGCAATCAGAGTCCAAGTTAATGAATTCATTCTAAGCAGAGTTTCTGAAAGGTAGACCGCCTGTTCAAAACTGTCCCCTCGAATTCTAGGTTGATTTTGCATCGGCGTTTCCTGCTTCATAAGGGGTTAAATTTTTCCTTGGGTGATGCATAGCCCTAATCGCCTGCAAGAAGTTCTCTAGGTTACACAAACATTTCGAGATAATTATTTCAGACCCAGTAAATCAGACAACGCAAAATAACGTTTAAACATGCACATCCTTTATTGCCTTCAACACAATTGACTGTCATACAAGCTATGCAAATTTTCGAAAGTCTGCCTTGATTGTGTGAATGTTCATCTGGTTTGTAGAGAAACGCAACTATCAACCACCTCAAGGGCATCATACTTCTTTCATAATTGTTCGCTTTAAATTACCTTTTATTTGGTATGTTTTAATCAATTCTGGCAGCGACTGTAAATGTGTAATTGAAAACACATTTGGTTTCGCCATAATTAAATTGCTGGCGGAATCCCCTACGGAATAGGAAGGACAAAGAGTTCTTTTACAGGACTTTCAGAAATCTATTAGCTCTTTTCTCCCCCAGTCTGCTTTCGCGATGACAGGTGAGGGAAAAAGAGGGTAATAAGAAGCAGCAACAGCAGCAGTAAATTCAACTTACCCTTGTGAAGGCGAATCCAACATATTCCTTGAAGGACACGTTGACCGTCGAATTGTTAGAGGTGGGAAAGAGAAAGACCGGTGCATTGTCGTTAACGTCGAGGATGTTGATGGTAATCTTCGCCCTCGAGCTCCTCTTCGGGGTGCCCTCATCCTCCGCAATAGCGAAAAAGGTGTGCCTTGAGGCCGACACGTCGGTTGGGGTAGGGTAATTGAAATCCAGTGCGCCTTCCGTGGGACGAATCATTCTGGAGGTCAGTTTATTAAGACCTGCTGTGGCCTCCCGGTCAATAGGGCCACTTGTGAGGATGCCAATCTCATATCTATTTTCGCTTCTAATATAGTGTGGTTCCAGGCGGTAGGGTAGAGTTTCCTCGTCTTCCAAACGCCAGCGATGTTGCAAACTTTCCTCCGAGAGAGAATACTGTGTGGGAAGGTCAGTAGGCAAAATCCAGAACTTCAGTTCCCCATTTTTGCCCTCATCTACGTCCGAAGCGTAAATGATGCCGATCAGGTGATTCGCAGGGACGCCCTCTGGAACCTCGAATTCGAATTCCGGTTTCGAGAACACCGGTGATTCATCATTGAAGTCTCGCACGTAGATGATTACTTTGGCAGAAGAAGATAGCGAAGGTGTCCCGAGATCCTGAGCCACAATCTCAAACTCGTAGGTCGCCTGCTGCTCTCGATCCAGATGTCCGTTCGAGCTGATCACACCCTCCTTCTCATCGATTTTGAACATGGGCTTTTCAGAGGGTTGTATCAGGCTATACCTGATCTCTGCAT